GCTGAGTCAGGATTGGAGTCCCGGACCAATGTCCGCTCTAGTTCAGTTTCTCTGGGACAGGCTCCTATTATCAGGTATTAGTTATTAAAAGCTGATGTCTGAGTTATTATTTATGAAGTCTTATTATCACTCAACACTGAATTAATAATAGATGATGCTAAAAATTATACTCAAAATTGAACTACCTAGAATGAAAATGCAGGTAGATTCATAATGGATGAAGGCTTTTAAGGCCCATGCCTGTGAGTGAATCACAAGCACAGTGGTTTGGGGGAATTGAATTGAGAAGGAATCGATGACGCTGGCTTTGAGCTCTGCGTTTGTAGACTTCTGAAGGAAGGGCGGCAGAGGTCGAGGGCTTGCGTGTTGGTGAGTGGATGCCCGTCACTACCACAGCCCGAACTGCAGAAGTGGTGTGGCTTTCCCTACTGGGCTCGTGGGACCGTGGTCTCCGTGGCCCTCACTGCCCACCTTGCTCTATGGCTGTCCCAGTTTTCTTACCATTGTCAACAGGGAAGCCTGCTGCTGTCTGTGAGCGGGCCGTGGGTCACAGGTGCCTCTGTTTGGGGCGGGTCTAGAGGAAGGATGAACACAGAGGATGGGAAGGTGGATGGGTTCTGTGTGTCATTGCATAGTGAAAATGCTACAGGGAATCGTATGGGAACCGTGTTAAGAAGGGCCGATGAAGGAGGATGGTGGAGGGGTGAATTTGGCCAAAAGCACATTGAATGCACGTATGGGAACAACGGTGAAATTCCCTTGTACAGCCAATTAAATTAATGCAAGCTACCTTAAAACATATACTCCCTCCCTCACATCCCCAAGGCCCGGCTCTTGCAGTTGAGGTCTGGCAGATTCAGGTGTCCATCTCCACCCAGCCTCACTGCCCAAGCCTCAAAGAGGAGTGTCTTCTGGCGGTAGCCTGTGTGTTCACGCTGCTGGGATCAGAGCAGAGTCCCCAGCCTGCCTGCCAGCCTGCCCGCCTGCCTGCCCGCTGGCCGGCTTCCCCTTTGCTCTGGGCTGCTTCCCTGCTCCAGGTCTCTGGCCCTGCAGAGCATTCCTCTCTGCCTCCCCCAGGAGACATTCAGTTCTGCATGTAAGGAAGTGTTCAGAGGCATGGGATCCTCGCCCAGCCCGCCCCCCACCTCCTGTCTCCTAATAAATAGCCTCTTAGCCTCAGCCCCCAGGGGCCGATTTGCATTTTGATGGAGAACTCGGGAAGATGCAAAGCCTGGCTGGCTGAAGGACTCTCTAATGACAATATATCAGGCACGAGATGGCAGGCACTCTGGGCAAAGGAGAAATAAAGAGAGGAAAGGCTTTCCAGGGGCCTCCGATCGAGGTCGGTCTGTGGGCATTCTGTGTCCCAGATAGAGCATATCTGCATGGGAGGAGCATGGAGGAGAGGGGGACCCCTTCCCTCTTTAGCTGTTAAGGGTACATCCGAGCGAATGAACTCCCAGGTTTAGGAAATCTGGACTCTCTAAACACTGGTGGAGCAGACGCATGTACATCTTTTCTTTCTTTTTTTTTCAAGGTCACATGAGTTTCCATTTTATTCAATAGTCCTTTTGCCTTTTTTGCAATTTTTTTAATTGTGAAAATACTGTACAGAGGGGTTACAATTACATGGGCAAGGTAATGAGTACATTTCTTATCATTTCTTATCAAGCATTGTAACCTCCTCCTTTGTTTCCTCTTCCCATCCCTTCCCATCCTCCCCCCCACCCCGCCTCCCCACCCAATCTCCCCCCCCCCCCCCGCATCTTTTCTAATATCTCCTCATAATAAGAGCTCATAGGTCTGGGGAAATGACACGTTCAGGGTGGTTTTCGTGAGTGCAGGTATAAAAGTGAATATTGTGCTAAAAAAAAAAGTGGTTGAACAGACTTGGAGCGTTGCTGCAGTGGAGCCTTTTATTACCAGGAGCCACTGAGTTCTTCGCCACGAACAGGTTTCCAAGTCCTTGAACATGGTGGGAAACTATCAATGTAATCTTGAAAAAGACAGGAAAACCATCTACTGTCTTGGTCCTGTGTCTGAAATAATGAAAAATGAAATTAAACGAGAGGCTTCTCTACACAAAACACTGGAGTTTCTTCCCTCTTCTTGAATCAAAGCAAAGGAGATGCTTTGGGTTGGTAAGTGAATTAAAGACATTAACCTGAGATCACAATCACAAGAGTGATGTGAGCTTAGGGGCTCAGGTGTTCCAGCAGTGTTTTAACAAAACTATGTAAGGTTTCTGAAAATACTGTAGAAATAAGGAACATACACACACACACACACACACACCCCTGACTGAAAGGAATAGAGGACAATTCAAGAGATTATTCGCCCTTACTAAGTAGCTCAAATGTGAAACAACCAAATGTCAGGTCTGCTTTTTCTTCTGTTCTTTGGCTTTTCAACATATTTTATCAGTATTTCTTTGGAGACGTGAGTGGGAGGTGGTGTAGCCGTTGCCATAGTTACTCATTTCTACAGCATTTGGAGGCTGTTAGCCAACCAAACAAATAGTCCCCCCTCTCTCTCTTTCTCTCCCTCTCTCCTTTTTCTCTCCCCCTCCCTCTCTCTAATATGTTAGCAGGGAGAAGGTGGGAAATCTGTGACTGAAATATGACTCACGTCAGCACAAACTCAGAAAAACATGGAAAAATAGCTAAGGAAATGGAATTGTACTGAGCAAGAGTTTGTTTTTATTTTCTTTTTTGAGTTTATGGACATTTAGATAATGCTGTTGGAATAAAGTCTAATCAATTCTTTGGATAGATCGTAGTGAGATCTGAGCATGGGGTCTGTGTGGAGACCCTAGATGGAGAACCCCCAAGAGCATGGAGATCACAGATGGCGAACCCCCAAGAACATGGAGGCCCCAGATGGAGAACCCCCAAGCGTGGGGTCTGCATGGAGAACCCCAGATGGAGAACCCTGGTTCGGTTCCCCAGTGGAGCCTTCCACGTGGCCCCTGAACTGCCCAGGTGTGGGCTTCAGGCCCTGTCCTGAGAGGCCTGGTTTGAGCTGCTGGGGTGAGGCCGAGGCCAGGTAACGTTCCTCTCCAGGCCATCTGGCCATCGACCGGCAGCCAACCTAACCTGTTTGTTTGTGATTATTTTCTCAGCATGAACTTGTGGTAAAATCCTTGGTTTCTAGACCTCTGCGGATCTACCTGAGTTCCCTGGCCATCGGCACTCAGGCTGCAGTCCTTCTTTCCTCTTCTCTGGATGAGCAAAGTCTCTTATTCAACCATCTTCACTGGGGACAGCATTGCTCACCGTGGGTTGTGTGCTATAGCTTGCTCTACCTGTGTTAACACACCACCACACCAGCGGTATTATCACCACTCACACATGCCTCAAAGCAGTCATAGGCTGAATCCGCAGAAGAAGGTAGTACTGCTGTAACCAGAAAACCCCAGCTCGCCAGCCACATAGTAAGGCAGATATGACTTCAATCTCTGTGCCCTTACCCCTCCCTCTTGCCCTGTCCCTGTCCCTCCCTTCTTCCTCCTCCCCATCATGGCCTATTTAAACCATTGGTTTAGACCAGATGCTGGAGACTGATACCTACCTGTCATCCTTCCTCCTCCATCTGGAGGAGCTCAAATTCTGGGCAGACTCTATCTCCAAAATAACCAGAAAAAAAGCAGGCTGGATTTGTGGTGAAAGCAGTAGAGCACCAGTCTAATAAGCTCACAGCCCTGACATCAAGCAGACTGAGTGGAGGCCCCGCACTTGATCCAGATGGTCACCCAGCTTAGCTGGAAACAAAGCAAACCGCGTTTGTGGGGTTTGTAGCTGATCCCAAAGCTGCCAGCCTCCTTCAGCAGGACCCTGCAAGTGCTGCTGCCAATGGGCGTCTGTGTCCACCCTGGCCTGGACAGGGTGGGTGGACAGGCCGACCCTGCTGGTGGACGGGTGGTCTGCGGGAGCTGCTGCCCCAGAGTGGGCATTTCCTCCCAGCCACCAGGACAGTGGAAGGATGCAACAGTGGAGGGACGCAAGGCCGTACTGATGCCAGCCCCAGAGTCCTGGACCTGAGAGCCCGGCCTCTCCCCACTCCACCCCTGCGCCCTGGACTGGAGACTCTGGCCCCTCCCTTCTCTAGCCCTGCGCCCTGGACAGGAGAGTTTGGCCTCCACCCTCCCTGCTTCCATTTGTGCCATCTTCTGCCATCATAGCTCAGAATTCTAAGTAAGAAATGGAACTTTGAAAGATGAAAGCAAATCAAATCATTCAGCTGACTTTAACCACGTACAGTCAACGTGAAATAAACTGCATAAATATTGAATTGATGAAGCCAGACTTTATATTAGCATTTTTATGGAATATTTCTAACGTGCTCTTTTTTCTCTCTGGATAATAGCATACTAAAAAGAATCACAATAGAAACTGAGCTCCAATGCATAAACTTAAACACTAAGCACAGGAATGTTTACATTGATTAATTATCAAGGCGACAAAGCTACATCTCAGTGAACAAAAGTAAAATCAATACACTGAATACAATAAGCAACCATGTGTAATTTTGTTACATTAAGGCAGAATTGCATCTTTCCTGATCTATATTCATGGTATTAATAATAAAGATGTGCATATACTCTAATTTCAGATTATTATACAGAGGTATAACTCTGTAAAATACCCCACCCAACTGGATTTTCCTAATTATATTTTTATATTGTAAGAGGTTTAAAATAACTCTCTAGTCTTTTATATTTTAATGCACTTTATTATTAAATGATGCAACATTCAGAATTTTTAACATTAATTTGTAAGTAAAGGAAAAATATTTCAGCTGGGAGCTGTTGGCTCTCACCGTATTTCTCAGCTACTTGGAAGGTGAAGATCGGGAGGGTTGTTTCAAGCCCAGCCTAGACAAACAACAATAACAACAAAAAAAAAACATCGCAAAATTCCATCCATGCCAGCCATGTAGGAAGCCCAGATAGAGGATTTCAGCCCATGCAAAAACTGAGACTCTACCCCATGACTGACCAGAAGAAACCACAGTGCCACAGTGCCACAGCTGTCACTGAACGCCATCACATCTAGCAAGTGTGATGCTTTCACTTCAAACCCTGGGACTCCTCCCCAAATGAGCTGCATTTCAGAGTTCTTCCTGTGTCCCGAGGGTGATGTAATGAGTGCTAGGCGCCGACTTTGAGAGGTTGGTGGATTAGCTGCAGTATGGACACACTCCATCTGCTTAGTTCTAGATCAGGTATGTGTGATGTGTTTTATCTTGGTCTATGTTCAGGTCTTCTGCTGGACTTGGTACAAAGCATACATGCTTTCTCAGTTGTCATTCTGAATTTCAACCCTTGATACTTTTAATTATTTCAATTCTCCATCTTGCGTTGAAGCCTAGCTAAGCAGATGTCCTTGCAGGGGGCAGAGACCGGGGCAGCACCACAGGGGATCTGGGACCTCCGGGTAGTATTGTGCAAAGAGAATTGTGCAAATGTGGAAATTGCACAATTGTGCAAACTGCCAGCCAGTTCAAAATCCTTTTGAGACTTTCCCTTTTATTTCTGCAATCAAGTTGTGCTAAAGTAAAATAATTCATGACTCTGGCTGTACTTGAGAGGTGGTAAAATGGGCGCAATGGTAGTCGATTCTGGTGCTTAAGTGACAATGTGTGTGACCACATCCTTACAACACGTTCAGCATACATGGAAGTATGTAAGCCACGGAATAGTTCAGAAATTGAGTCCCTGTTAAACTCTGTCTTGCATGGAATCCTCCAGGAGGTAATACAGACCCCACAGCATTATGTTGGCTAAATTTTATGTGTGTGAAGGTGTTGTGTTAGCTGGCAGATATACCGCATATGATGTTAGCGTATTCACCCATTAATGTTATGGAAGTTGCAGGCTAATCAGTCTAACCACATATATGCCAGCAGTCAGTTTTGATTTGGTAAGCAGCAGTAAGAGTGGATAGGAATCTTGGGCTGGCTGTTTTCCCTTGGTATGTGTGTGCTTGTGGGAGATGCCTGCACCTGTCCTTGTTGCTGAACTTGGTGAATCTGAGAGATGTCTGCCTCCCACCCACTCTGATTGGCTGGACTCCTACAGAGACCCAGGGAATGGCCGACATTGGTCTTAAGCTGACACACTGATGGCTGTGTTGGTGAGGTCCCACCCCTGAGACTCATGCTGGTACATTCTTTCCCACACTTGTGTTTGAAGCATGCAGGAGCAATCTGACAATGTTCTTTTGTCCCTCTTGTTCATCTCTGGGTAGGACACAACAGAGTAACTGTATCAACAGGTTTCCCAAATGTTTAATGTTTTAAAAATCAGATCAGTATTTCATAATTCTTTTTTTCATTTTCAAATTAGCTTTGTGAAAATGAGCTGGTCGTGTGTGCAAGTAAACAGTGGTGTGTGCAAGTGAACAGTGTTGTGTGAAGGTGAACAGTGGTATGTGCAGGTGAATAATGGTGTGTATAGATGAACAGTGTTGTGTATAGATGAACAGTGGTATGTAAAGGTGAACAGTGGTGTGTGCAGGTGAACAGTGGTGTGTGCAATAGTGGTGTGTATAGATGAACAGTGGTGTGTATAGATGAAAAGTGGTGTGTGCAGGTGAACAGTGTGTGTATAGATGAACAGTGGTGTGTGCAATGGTGGTGTGTATAGATGAACAGTGGTGTATGCAGGTGAATAGTGGTGTGTATAGATGAACAGTGGTATGTATAGATGAACAGTGGTGTTATAAATGAACAGTGGTGTGTGCAGATGAACAGTGGTGTGTGCAGGTGAACAGTGGTGTGTGCAGGTGAACAGTGGTGTGTATAGATGAACAGTGGTGTGTGCAGGTGAACAGTGGTATGTATAGATAAACAGTGGTGTGTGCAGGTGAACAGTAGTGGTTGTCCACAGGTTCTCAAGATGTCAGCTCTTCAGGAAGCCAAAGTCAACTCCTGCTCTGCTAAGCATTTTCCTCCACATAGCAACCCACTCCCAGGTCACACCGTCTTCTCTGAAGGGACAGGGAGGAGACGGGAAATCCCAGGGAGACAATGGTTCCCGAGACGTGCTACAAACCCCACAACCAACCCCTAAGTATAGTATGTTTGTGGAGCTACTGTTACTGTAGATTATTTCAGTTCTGAACCTCCCACCTTCAAACTTAATCTGAATTGAAAATACATCTACCTCATGGTGGCTTTCCCAGATGGCTTATTACAATATAATCACTTCTTACCACCCTTCCGTGGAACTTTTACAAACAATTATCCTCATGTAGTAGAGTTATATAAAATGCATGTGTTAGAAAACTACCACATCTAATTTAATTTTGATAGCTAACCATGAGGGAATTCCAGCAGCTTTCTTGGTCTTGCTCTGTGAGAAGCCACCAGAAGTTGAGTGACTGACTGGCTGTCCCTCTGTCTTCCCATGTGACTGGCTGTCCCTCTCTTCCTGCTGGGCCTGGCTGCCGCCCTGATGTCTCCACCCATCCTGTCCTCCAGCGCTGGCTCCAGCCTGAGCCTAGCCCTGGTTGGCTCCACCCTGCCCTGCCTGGCCTTGTCCACGCTCGCTCCCTCCCAGGGGAGCCGGTGTTTTGTGACACCTGCTGCCTGTCCTCTGTGGATCCCATCCTTGGCTGAGCGTTCACACAATGTCAACAACTGTTTTGGGGTTTTTCTTCTAGAGCTTCCACCGGAATGTCAGCAGAAAGGTATTTATTATTCATGTACTGTGTCTCTGTCATGCGCTTTCTCAGTGAACCCTCACAACAGTTCTCTCAAGAAACTGCTACTGTCAGCAGTTACCAATCACTTGTTTTCTTATGACCGCTGCTAGAGTAGACAGGAATGGAATTATACCAAGTGTCTCGGGAAACTGATTTCAGAAGCATCTGGTGCAAGATAGTTCTTAGAACCTTGTTTCTTGCTTCTATGTTATTACAATGTTTTCAATTCACAGAGTTCTAGAAAGAGCTAAAATTTCAGGATAGATCTATGGTTCACCAGTAAAACTAATGTTTACACTTATTCTTTGTGTGTGTGTGTGTGTGTGTGTGTGTGTGTGTGTGTCCGGTCATGGGGCTTGAACTCTGGGCCTGGACGCTGTCCCTCAGCGATTCAGCTCAAGGCTAGCGCTCTACCACTTGAGCCACAGCACCATTTCTGGCTTTTTTCTTTGTGCTTATGTGGTGCTGAGGAATTGAACCCAGGGCCTCTGGCATGCAAGGCAAGCACTGTATCACTGAGCCACCTTCCCAGCCCCTACACTTATTCTTTATTTAACCTTTTATTCTGCATTATATTTACATTGGGAAAAAGAAACAAGTCATTATAGGATTAGACCTAACATATCAAATAATATGAGTAAAAAACCTGATTTAAATGTCTGCCTGACAGGCATCTACTCAGTCTCATTTATTGGCATGCTAATTGCTAATGAGTTTTATTTAAGAATTCAAAATAGAACCTAAAATTAAGCAACTCAGCCACAGATAGAAGTCTATGCTGAGTACCCTGAGGTTCTGCAAATGAGTTTGAAAGGCTGAATGGTTTAAAGTTGTGCCTTCAGTGTTTTCCTGATATGAACACATTAGCTTTCATCAGCCAGGATGACTCTCTCTGAAGCCACGATTAAGTAAGATTAAAACTAATCAAACCACCAAGACAGAGGGGCATGAGCTGCAGCCCAGCCTTTCTGCTCTGCTTTATTTGCCTCTCCTCCCTCAAGCCACGGGAAGCTGAGGAATGCCCAGAGCTCACTTTCCCCAGGGAAGAGATGACACAGCCGCACACATTCTTGACGCTTGGATACAGAATCCAAGAATAGGCCTAAGAAAAGATGACCCAGAAAAACGCAATGAGTCCTTGCCCATTGTGACGGGCTTTGAGGCTGGACAGTGTGAAGAAGAGTCAGAGCTCCATGCGCTGGCAGGGAGCACCTGCTCCCACTCCTGCTCCGTCTTCCGGTGTGGACGTGACCAAAGCCCAGGGCGCTGGGCCTCGCCCTCCCTGGCGCTTGCTCGCCCTGGTGCTCGCTCTGGTCCCGGCCCTCTGTGTCCCTTCCCCAGTCATCCCAGAGTAAGGTGTCTCAGGGGAGAGAGAGACACAGGGAACGTTGCAGGGCCTTGTGGGCGGAGGCTGGGGTCTGCCCGGACATCACTCACAGCCCTGGACATGTTCCTGTGTGGGTAGAAGTAGCTCATGTCTGGTCTAGGTGATTAGAAAGGACACACGAGACATTTTGTCTAGAGAACCAGGCTTCCTGCAGGCAAAATCTGTTGGGTTCTGTACTTTTCTAACATTGTTTTTTATTTTTTTATTGTTGTTGTTTGTGGGTCATGGGCCTTGAACTCAGGGCCTGGGCACTGTTCCTACTACCTCGATCCATGGCACCACTTCTGGATTTCTGGTGGTTACTTAAAGATAAGAGTCTTACAGACTTTCCTGCCTGGGCTGGCTTTGAACTGTGATCCTTAGGTATCAGCCTCCCCAGTGGCTAGGATGACAGGCATGAGCCCCCAGCACTCGGCTTAGCCTGGCTTTTAAACAAGATCACACTAAGCTCTTCTCTCTCCTATTCATTCCCTGCCACCAGCACCTCTCTCCTCAGCGCCCTCATGCCTCCTGTTTTGATGAGATTTAGACAGATCAGAGGACATTCTACAGTAGAGAACACCTCGAAGACCTAGAGGCTTTCTGAGAAGTATTTATAGCCAATAGGCCCTTAAACACTCCATGATTTCCACAGAGAAGGTTATATACCAGCACACCACAAAAGCAAAAGTACATTGTAATATAAGTTAGGGTTTCCATGGCAAACCACCCCACGCAGGCTGTCCAGGCAATGGGCTCTTTGTGCCACGTGGGAGGAGGTAGCTGACAAGCGTGATCCTGAGTTGGTACATCTGAGCACGAGCAAGACCTTCAGTAGACCGAAGATGTACATACGTAAGGTGCCGCGAAGAATTCAGGCTTTGCTTTCTGAAGACACAATAGTCTGATTCCTTTTAAATTCCTTCTCAAGCACTGGATCTGACAAAGATGGATCCTTCAAGGTCATTCACACTAATCAGAAACAGGAGTTCAGATCGTGGAACACATGGATTGACCCAACCACACAGCAAAGGCTCCAGCCAGCTGCAAATTCCTGGGGCCACTGGACAATCAGGTGATTGTGCCAGATAATGCGCTACCTGGGAAAATCCTTCAGGGAAGGAATGATCGAACAAACGTCTTGGGTAATTGAGATGCAAGTGTTTACAGAAGTGATGAACACTTTATTTCACGTAAATAAATATGAATTCAAGTGCATGCGCATGTATAGCATAGCACAGTGATTTATTAATGCGGTTGATAAAGTGGTAACTTAATACTCACGGGCTGGAACTCAAGACTAATTGAGACAGGAGAAAAAATTTAGTCAAGAGTTGCAGACGGTATGGTGAGGGTTCTGGACAAGTTCTCCCACAAAACTGGAGCAGTTGTGTCTACATGTGCAGAAATTGCCGTGGCTCATGGACTCAGACATAGACAGAAAAAGAGGAGACCGGTCATGTAGCAGATGAGAGAGATGGGAGCAGCCATGGTTTGTCCTAGCCAGTGTGGGATGGTGAGTGTGTGTGTGTGTGTGAGTGTGTGTGTGTGTGTGTGTGTGTGTACCAGTACATGCGTGTATGAATGTTTCCCCTGAGAGCTTGAGTGGAAGGAAAGGGAGCTGTGTGGAGGAGGAAGCCATAGGTCTGCATGTGCAGTTCATTTACATCTGGACAGTGGATAGAAAGTTAAGCATGGCGAGTTCAATCCAGGAATGGGAAGTCTGGCTGGTTTGTGTTCTACAGGCCAAATGCAGGTGAGGACAGCCCACAGCCGGGCAACACCGCGTGGGAGACGGTGCCTCGGCTCCTGAGCCAGGCCGGGCTTCCATCTGTGAGGCTGGGGGGACTCCAGTCTCCTCCGCAGGCACCAAGCAGCTCTTCTGTCACCATCAGAATGAAAATTACTGCAGAACCAGCCTCGTGTGAGGACCAAAGGAGTGAACACGTGAAAAAGTCCAGAGTGCGAAAGAGAACTCGTTACCAATGCTGGATTGAGCCATGAGCAACTGTCATTTTTTTGTGGATCAAAATCAGCCTGTTATTACCAGTTTTATATGCTTCAGGCACACAAATGTCAGGACTCTAGTGGTGTTTTTTTCCGTCTCCCGGATTCAGTCTCTCCAGTAGAAAACCCATTTACTCTGGCTTGCTGGGTGAAAGTGGTCAGGAGTCGCCTGGAGGCAGACTTAGCGCCGCAGCGTTTGGAGTGAGATTGCTGCAAACACACAGCCAAGCTGTGCTGTGAAGTCCGAGAGCTGTCCAGCCGTAAAAGCCGAGTGACCTTATTCCTTCCTACTGCTGATCACAACAGAAACACCCACCAGTGTCTCCGAAATGTGTGCATTGTATAAACATGGTGAATGGTGATGATGATGAACTTCCTTTTAGCACCTTTGGGGGATGGTGCAGACGTGTTTTCTCTAGGGGAAAATCAGAACCCACTTTCATCAATTCTTCTCCGTGGCATGGAGAACTGAGTACCGGGAGTGGCCAGTGTGTCTCCCTCCCCTCAGCCACTCAGCAGCTGCTTCTTCTAGGCTACACTCTGAGCAATGACTGAATCAAGAGAAGCAAATGGTGAGCCCGACACAGAAAAAACACAGGGACTCCAACCAGTGTGCAGTACTTGTGTCCAAATATTCGTGTCTGTACCAGTCGTACTTCTATACAATTTTTGACAGGGTTGTGACTACAATTTCTTATGCAAGAAAACACTGGCGTTTAAGTTTCAATCAGAGTACAGATCACAGACATTTTAAAGTCTAAATTGGATGATTTCATCCACATCTTGCCTGAATCAGCAGATGGCTGTGCTGGTTAGAGTTGGAACACTTAGGGTGACAACTTCAGATGTGTGTTCGAAACGCCTCAGGAAAGGCCTGGTGAGCAGGCACTCAAGTCCTGAGCCAGGCCTGGGAGGAGACGCATCTGCTGGCTCCTGGAGACCGGGGGTGATTCACATTGAACTCCTCCACGCAGCTTTGTGTCTATCAGCATCACTTGTACAGTCGTGAGGGCAGAGGTGTGACCATCACCACGCATGGCAATGCCGTCTTCTGATCCAAGTCCGTAATCAGGCCAGTCCTGAACTCGTGGCTCTGCGGCCAGGACAGCAGAGCTTCCCGTTCGCTCCTCGTCAAGTGTGGGCAGTGCTGACTCTCCAACCACCCTGCTGGAGTGGACCTCCAGGAGGGGGCCATGTCTGACAGGCACCCGGTCATCCGGAGGACTTGCTGTGGTCCTTCCGGAAGAGACATAGGCGGTGGTGCATAAGGCTCAGGAGGCGAGGCTGACATTAGAGACACGAGCTCGGCCTGTCAGACCACCACGCATAGGAGTATCCTCTTGGGACGCCACAGGGTGTCTCGCTTCTGACGCTCAGCATGCGCACACCAACTTGTGAATTCTTAAAATTGAGGAACTGAAATTCGTCCACAGTAGAGGGCTTGTTTCAGCCACTTGGATGCCAGATGTGGACCTGCACACCATCTCCTTCACCCCTGCCTGCCCTTTCCCTCTACCCCCCCGACTCTCCCCCTCCACCCCTGCCCATCCTCCCTCTTCACGAGGTAAAGAGGTGTTGTTCTTAACTGACTCTGTCTCTTGTCTTATTTGGTTGTGTGACCAAATCAATCCTCCAGAGATGCTTGTGAAAATGCCCCTTCCATGTGACCCCTCTGTTTTGCTAAGTAAGTTATCCCTTAAGTGTATGCAGCTCAGGAACCCTCAGTCGTGTGGCTTGGTTTCTGTTTCAGGAGTGCAATTGCAAAGTGCCGTATTTCTAAATAAAGCCTGTTTGCTCCTCTGGTATCCTCTCCCGAGGTGCATAATTGAATTCTTCAGTCTCTCATCTCAAAATAGGCGCCACCAACGGAGCTGGAAGAATGAAGCACTCCTCTGCTGAGCGCCACAGTTCTGACATTCACAGAAAGTTCTTGCTGAGAAGTATTCATCCTCCTTGCCGGGCGGCGCTGTGAAGTGCTTTGATGACAAATTGCTTCTGGTACATTTTCTACTCCCGTACCTTCGGGATCCGGAGAAGAAACAAAAGTGCCCCTCAGACTGCTGTCACTAGCAACTTCCTTCCTCTGGTGCTGCGGTTTGGGTTTTCACGGTGCAAGTGATTTCACACACAGCACATTTATCGTCGGGCCTCCTGTACCTGACCCCCGTCTCCATGGCTCTGACACTGAGCAGGTGCTTAGCGCAGGGCCATGTGTGAATGGGGGGCAGAGTGAACCATGGTCGAGTTCCTTCCAGCAGCATTGAACGTTTAGGGCTCACACTCTAAGCCTGCCTGCACATTCTGCGCCCCGTCCCCACCAGGATTGAGTTTGCTCTGCAGCCGCAGGGCTGAGCTTCCACAGACTGGAGCTGACTGGAGGCAGGACCCAGGAAGCTCAGAGGCTGTGTGGGAAGACAGACCCTACATATGCAGACCGAGTAGCTGACTGGGTTTCATATCCACTGTATCATTCTTATGAATGTTTACCACCTGCCTGCTCTTCCACAAACAAGGGCTCAGCACCATTACTGTGGTCCAGACAGCCGAGGCTGGTGTGATTTCTGGAAGTGTGATGGAACTCAGTCTGTGCAGAAGGCACAGAGTCCTGGCCCCGGCTCCCCGCCATCCCCACCAACACTTCATTCTCCCACCTCTCGCCTCCATTCTATTCTCCACACATTCCACACACATCAACGGCTCCTGTTAAACTCACCGTGGAACCTGATTTCCTCAGCTGGCCAACCAGGGCAAGGCACGATCAGCCTTTCTCCACTTGTCCGAGTTTTGGCTTCCTGTCCTGGCCCAAGGCGTCGCCACACAACCCCATCCTGACTTTCCTTCCCGCGGCAGTCTGTCCTCTTCTGGACTCCTCACAGGAGTTTTGTTTTTGTGATTTGAAATCAGCCATATTGTGTGTGTGTGTGTGTGTGTGTGTGTGCCAGTCTTGAGGCAAAAACTCGGTCCCAGGCGCTGTCCCTGAGCTTTTGTCCTTGCTCAAGGCTGGTGCTCAACCACCTGAGCCACAGCACACTTCCCATTTTGTTGGTAGTTCATTGGAGACAAGAGTCTCATGGACTTTCCTGCCTGGCCTGGCTTTGAACTGTGATCCCTGAATAGCTGGGATTACAGGGATGAGCCACAGACACCTGGCTGGTTGGAATTTTAAATTCAGCCTCACCGTCCTTGGGGACAGTCCTTGTGGGACGCCAGCCCCACAGCCCCCAGGGAGCCACACGGTACACCAGCAGCCAAGCCTGCAGGAGCCAGGCAGACAGGGGCAGCGGGGTCATGAGGAAGGGACAGCATCTGGACACTTCTAAATCCTGACCACATTCAGTTCAAAACACTGAAACGCGGATACCTGCAGCAACCCTTTTAGTTCTAAAATCTGCACTTGACAGTTACTTCCTCCGATCACCTCAGCTGGACTGAGGAGGTGGCTGCGGTGTGAAGCCAAGTCACAATATAAAAGTGAGAAACAACTTCTACCGGGCTGCATGGGACTTGGCCGGGGGAATTAGCCAGGAGAGCCAACAGGCTGAAGAGCTGCTTCTGCAGGTGACTCAGTCGGGTCCCAGTACCCACACTCCACTCGGGAGCCAGAGGCACGCACACATTCACTTAGGGATACGTTCTTTCATCTGAGCATGACAGTTGTGTGTGCAATGTACCCATGAACACCCAACCCCACACTCATGTCCTGGTATCTTTGTTCTCTAGCAAAGTGTCTTTCACCCATGTCTCCACGGGCCTGGTGATGTTAGACGCTGACCGATGGACCAGGCAGACGCCCAGCAACTGCCGGTGCCAGGATCCAGACAGATGTAGGGCGATCCCACATCAACTTTCTTTCCCAATTTTACAGGCTTCATTCTTCTTCCTTACATCCATGATAAAGAAAAGAAGGTTCAAGAAGAAAAGTTGTCTTGCTGCCTGTCAGTGGCGGTCACCACGGCCTCGCTGCCCAGTGGACCTGGAAGGGGGCACCACATCATTCATTCACCTGACCTCTACCATCATTCATTCACACAGGATGAGAGCGAGGAGGAGATGTGTCGGGGTCCGCTGGCCTGATCTCACTTCCAGTCTGCACTGTTTCAAACATGTCAACTCTGAACCCAAACTACTCAGGAGCCCACTTGGATCCAGAACAAACTGAGTAACACAAGGGCTCTGACACATGTTGGAAAGTGCACGTACTACGACATACTACCAAAAACACGCTCACCAGGGTGGTCCTGGGGGAGGAAATGCCAAAGAGGGTCCCGGTTGCACAGATTCTGCTTTTCCTCTGGCTGTGTAACCCAAAAGTGAGAGGCAGGCCGAAGGAACAGAGAGACTGTGGGATCAGTCAACATAGAAACACAAGAAATGAAGGAAACCTGTTTATGTGTGTGAATATGGATGTATGCATATACCTGTATGTGCATACACACACCCACGCACACATACACACCCACACAGCCATGACCATGAGTCTGGAAATGGCCGTGCGATCATTTTTCATCACACAGATAATGGAAGGCGAACATTGTTATTCAAAAATAAATGACAAAAGCATCTTAAAAATAACCAAGGCTCACTGAGGAGTAACTCCCATGGAGTCAGCATGTAGACAAAAGACTTTATTACTTCAGTGACTCCCACGAGATCACACCTGGGGTGGATGCACAGCTCAAGGACCTGGGTGTGCCGGCATTGCACATGGGTTATTAATCACAGGTGTCATCTTTTCTGCTAATTAACTTAATTGAGCATCTTGCTGTGGAAGCCACGTGGCAGTGAGACCAACGTAACAGACCCCAGCAGGTAAACCCTGTGTTCCTATCACTTCCTGTGTGTGAATACAGATCTTAACACACTCCACCGTCAAGCGAAACCCTTTCTCTTCTGTTGTGTATGGCAAAAAGTGAAAGACTAGGTATCAATGACTCAGGAGAGCAGGTTTGACAAAACATATGTCCTTGTATTTGAAAACAATGAGTGAGCTTTTAGAATCAGAGCTTATTGTGTGTTTAGTAACATGACTGTGAACTTGGTCATGCATGTAACTAATCTTTATTTCATTTATGCTCAGTATTGTTTTCCAGTTGCACAACAAAACATCCATTAGGAGAGATTGCTATTGGAGGAAGCTTTATTGATCTTCTGGAAGAGATGTATGCAGTTAATTCTGTTTTGATAACTGGCAAGCCCTCCAAATGCTCAACAGGTTATTTATTTAAAAGTGAATGAGGAAGACTCCTGATGGTGGAGTTCCTGTGTGCCTGGGCTATCCCACAGAACTGTCCTGATGGTGGAGTTCTTGTGTGCCTGGGCTATCTCACAGAGCTGTCCTGATGACAGAGTTCCTGTGTGCCTGGGCTATCTCACACATTTGCCATGGCTCGCAGGAGTCCAGTGAGCACTCAAGGAAGTCAAGTTTTAATTTTAGTGATTCTAATTCTAACGTAGGTAGCAATGTGTGGCAATGGCCGTGTATTATGCAATGCAATACAGCAAGGCACGAGTGATTTTCTCCTCTATGATTTTATTTGCACAAGAGGAAACACCCAACACAAACTTTGAACAGTAAGGAGACACAATTGTGCATTTCACCGGAAAGTGTTCACAGGCATTAGAAAGTTCTGGAAGGCAAATGTGGAGTCTGTGGTGAGACATTGCTTCCCTGGATCTTGGACTGAGGGCTCGACCAGAAACAACAGAGCAAATGCAGCGGTGACGCTGTGCAAAACAGAGACCAGTCACCATGCTGTCACCATGGCTGTCACCGTGCCGTCGCCATGACGTCACCGTGCTGTGATGAAGTGCAGGGCGCTGTGCAGTCAGGAAGCGGAGGCACGAAGCTTTCACAGCTGCCTAGGAACATCCAATTCCATGGTCAAATGGCTGCCAAGTACCAAACAAAACATCAAACTGGGCTGGAGGCATGGCTCAAGAGGTAGACAGATGGGGCTGGGAAGGTGGCTCAGTGGTTGAGCGCTTGCCTTGCATGTGTAAAGCCCTGGGTTCGATTCCTCAGCACCACATGAGCAAAAAGAAAAAAGCCGGAAGTGGCGCTGTGGCTCCAGTGGTAGAGCGCTAACCTTAAGCTGAAGAGCTGAGGGACAGCGCCCAGGCCCAGAGTTCAGGCCCCATGACCGGACCCAAAAAAAAAAAAATTATACAACAAGAGGTAGACAGAGCCCCGGCCAAACCCATGTGAGAGTCCAAGATCAAATCCCAGTATCTGGAAAACAAAAAGGGAAAGAAATATAGAAAATAAATGCACCAGAAGTGCTATGAATTTGTTTTCTGAAGTCTTTTCTTCCAGCAGCCACTTTTCCAAAATATTAAGAATGTTTTCTTTCCTTGTGGGCAGGAGGGAGGCAGCCGGGGTCCTGCGAAAATCACTTCCCTGAGTTCTATGCTAGAGCTCTTCTCTGATTCTTGAAAAAATGTTTGTGCTTTCTCCCATCACATCTGGTTGATATGTAGGATTACACACGAAGAGCTGTTTAAAGTGAAGGGCCATGCCACACACACCCTCACACATACACACACACACGCACACATTCACACATACACGCATGCATTCTCTCTCTCTCTCTCTCTCTCTCTCTCTCTCTCACACACACACACACACACACACACACACAGAGGCCTCTGCAATCATTGTTCCCTGCCCTTTCCCATACATCCACCTCAGTCATACTTTCTCTACAACAACTGCTTGACAGTGTGTCTAGTGTTTATTTTGAAAAGTGTCATCCCTTCCTCTAAAGACACCCTCACATGCATTTGGCATTCTTTTTCCTGCCATTGTTCTATTATTTGAGCAGTATTTATACTGAAGTCTGACGTCATGCCTCTTGTGTTTTCTATGTACTTCAACATGTCTCTTCACTCTTGGGTTCTACTCTGTTTGTAGTTAATGATGTCTCCGTTCACTATTCCAAGAGTGGGTCTGAAAATTAGACGTTGACTATTTTCAAGTATTCTCAGTCTACATTTTTGAAAATTATTCTTCTAGCTTCTGTTTACTGAGACATAGTAAGTTAGAGTTGAATAAGTAGAGAAAAATGTTGTCAGGAAAGCTTTTCACTTGTTTCCATCTTAGTGAAGAATGGTAGTATCAGCCTGCGGTCTCACAGATGTTTTCCATCCCAGTGATTAATGTCTGTCTAACACCTCTGTACAGATGAAAACAGCCACCTCAGATCCTCCAGTCCTCTCTTGCCTTCAATGTGGCCCTGCTGCTCTTCTAGAAGAATCTTGACATATCCAGCTGGCTCATCAGAATCGGTATGCTCAAAGTAGGTAGTGGGGAGGGAGTCAGACCCTTCCAGGACTTGGAGATGGTAAGGAGGGGAAAGCAAGATCTGGTGTTGAGAACCCCATGAATTACCACCATACATAGTTACCCTTTGCATGTGCAGTGGAATAAAGGCTCTTAGGACTAAAGTTACATTTATTTTCAAAGCCTGACTTGATAATGATCTTTGGCGACACTGCTCCTGGGATTGGTCAGCTTCCTACATGGACATCTAGCGTGTCAATTTCCTTTTTAGTTGGGGGAAAATGAGCACACGGAGGTCCTCTGAGAACATCCCTCCCGCAAGCGGTCTGCGTCATTTCTCAGAGCAGTGCTACGCTCTGAGTGGACAGCGTGGGTGCCGCTTCAGCCGGCCAGTGCCCTCCTCCTTAGCTATGATGGGAAAATCATGCACACTGGGAACACGCCTTCTTCCCCTGGGAGCACCATTGGCTGTGGAATTCATGTTTTGTGTTCTTCACCATGGCAAAAGCATAGGCAGAGCAGGGCTCACCTGACCAGCACCTGGGGGTGGAATGGCCAAGGAAAGTGAGGCAGGAAGGAGTTCAGTAGATGGGAGGAGGCGAGGGAAGGAAACAAACCCAGCCTGAGCTCCAGGCCCACATTAGAGGCCTTTCTGAGCAGATGTGGCTGGACCCCAGGAGCTGGAGAAGAAGCGACGTCTTTATACGGGATCAGCCCTCAGTGTGAGTGGACGTGGTGTCATCCAGTCAACAGCAAGTGACCGGTGTCCGAGGTCTCGCCTCACAGTGAGCTCATGTCAGTAGAGAGAGATGCGGAGGGCAGGGTTGGCTGAGTGGGAGCACACAGCGTCAGCAGGTACAAGGCTCCATCTCCATCGCCAAGAGACAAAGAGTAAACAGATGAAGACATTGTAGACTGGCCAGGCATTTTGGAAAAGGCTCTGTTACCTCAGGGCAAAACAAAGGGCTGGAAGTGTGGCTTGGGTGGCGGAGCACCTGTCCAGCAAGAACAAGGTCCTGAGTTTAAACCCCAGTGTCACCCAAACCACAAAAAGGCAAGACGACAGAAGCAGCATTCTTCTCCCTGGCAGGAATCATCCCTGCCGTGAACATGAGTCAGTCCACGTGTTGGCTCTCAGAGGCCGTGCGGAACCATAAAGAAAGATGAAATCCTGTCTTTTACCGGAAATGGGAAGAACTGTTTGTGGCTGTGTCTGGCTGACCACCACTGGCTGAAGCCATGACCATCCACCACACAAGTGTCTCCAGACACTGAGCCTAGCTTCCCAGCCCAGCCATTCCTCAGGGGTCTTCCTGTGAGGGGAGCTACAGGGGCCACATGGAAGATGACAGGGACGCGGCTGTCATCACATCCAACCTTGGCTCGGCCGCACCTGAGCTTCTGAGCTTCGGGTTTTCCTCCCAGGCCAGGCACCCTCCCTCTGTTCAGGCTCATGAGGCCTGTTTGGCAGGGAGAGCCTGTGGAGGACAGCCCGCTCGGGGTGGGATAATGTCTTGGTACCTCAACCCCACAGCCAAGTCTTACTCAGGCCACGTCTCCAGATATGTCCTGCTCATCAAGAATTCACTAGTCTACATTTTTTTTGGTTGTCAGGCTTGAACTCAGGCAACGGGCACTGTCCCTGAGCTTTTCTGCTCAAGGCTAGCACTCTACTGCTTTGTGCCATCACTGGACTAATTTTATCATCTCGTGGGTGGGGGGGGGCATAGGGGGTGGAGGGGGATGCTACCACCAAGTGAAAAGCCCTGACATTACCTATCAATGCTAACAGAAAGGTTGATGTGTTCAGTCTCAGGTGCTACTTCCTAGGTAGTGAGCGCTCACGGGCCCATGTGCCCTGTGTGGCACAGTGAACTCAGCCAAGGAACCCAGAGGCACAGGAAGCCATTTCCCGAGAAGAACATACTCACCTCCACGTTGCCAGCACCGCCTCTCCTCCATTCAACCCAGGTGATGATTGTGCTGTGATCGCCTTGTTAGGCCTCCACCTCCGACAGAAACATTTAATCAACAACACTATAGCTCAGGTGAGGTGAGCATGTGAGATCGTATCTGAGCACTAACATCCAACAGCATTTTGTACATTCACGTGGCAGGGTCTGGGGTTTAAAAAGGAGGGTTGTTTTCTTGTTGTTGTTAAGTGGCAGAACACTAAGGGGGTCAGTGACTTCGGTTGCTACATGAAGAACGCGTATTTATTAAATGCATGACAGTTTGCTGTAAGAAGTCCATACTTGGCCAGTGCCGGTTTGTCCCAGCTCTCTGTTTGACACAGACCCCTGTGACTGAGCGGATCGTCACACAGAAACCATCCCAGCATCGGCACGGTCACCCCAGCACCAAAAGGTTGCCATTGGACGCTGCTGAGCCACTCACGCCCATCACCCTCCACATTGAATTCATCTTCGTAGCTTGCTTGGTGTTCATCAGTCTGGTGTTACACTACTGAAGCCTTTTTTCCCCTCGTGATTTTTGAGAGACAGCCTTGCTTTTTTTGTAATCTAGACAGTGATGCTCCTATTTATGCTGAATATCACATGGGAGCCACTATACTCCAGCAAGGCCTGAGACTTGGATCAGCCCTGGCCCGGAACTGGCATCCTCCGCATCTTAGCCTTGGGAGCAGCGAGAGTGATGGGTGTGGGTCATAGGCACCTGGCCATTTTAAAGTGTGCAGGTGACACATTTGTAAGTACTCCTCTCGCTACTACCTGGCATGGGCTAGCCTCAGGCTACCATGAAGCCCCTGGGCACACCGGTGCGTATCACAAATTGAAAGCCGGCTCTGAGACCTCAGAATTGGCCTTGCGTTGTAACTCACATCTCTGATTTATACCTGCAATGTCACAGCCTCTCTAGCCCAGACCTTGTCCTTCTGGTCTTCAGGCCTTCCTGTGGGGTCTGCTCGGGCACTAAGGGGTCTGACAAACCCCTCAGTCATTCTAAGGAAGTCACAGATCTCACTGGGGACAAGGGTCTAAGGGCTGAAACATGGTGGGGGGGACACCGAGGCCTGGGCACAGCAGGCAGGAAAGTGGCACCAGGGAATGTTTTGAATGATGTAGAAGAACATAGAACACCTGGGATTCTTAATCAAATTGTTTCCTGGAAAAAGCAAATACGGCGAAGACACATGCAACTCAGCCTGATGTTTTTATTTTTGACTGGGCACTGGTGGGTAAGATGAGGAGGTTTTGCTGTACAATCTGCACAGACCACACTCCCCTCTCCAGCCCTTCTCTTCGGTGTTCTGTGGGGTTTGCTGTGCTGTCTTTAGCCTGCCATCTACTCTCCTTTCCTCTCTCTCCCTTCTCATTGGCTTCTCCTCTCCCGGTTACATACCTGTCCCAATATCAATACTGTTATCATCGTTGTTGTTTTGGCTTTGTATCCCACATGTGGGATGCAGCTCAGTTCATCCCACTATGTACTGCCAATCTACCACAGAGCTGCCACAGAGCTGCCAACTAGCCACGCCAAACCACCTGTCCAGGCTGTTATCCTGTCCTGCAGGAGAAAGCAGCTGAAGTTAAGACACTGTTGATTGCTGAGGACGGTGTGAGCAAAGGAGACCTTCCAGGGGTGGTGCTCCCAGGTGACAATGATGCACAGCTTTTACAGTGATGAGGAGCAGAGGGGGCAGCATCTCCATTCTCGGTGATAATTACAACCCTGGCCTCCAGCGACAGCAGAAGCCCAGGCAAGTTGGCACACATCAGCATCTCCCCCCCAGCCACCTGACTCAGCGTCCCACCCTGAGTTACTGGACAGACATGCCAACATTTGCAAGGAGTAAGAATATATACAGAACTTTCCAGACTCCTTGCTACTCTGCAATATTTCCTGATGATGTAATAAGGGTCACAGAAAAAGATTAATTAACTTATTTGCTGTGAATTTTTAAATCAGAACAGCCCAATTCATTCTAACAATTTTTGGGTGAACTGATGCAAATTGGATTTCCAAACTCCCCTAAATATTAAGAGAAGATATAGAAAAATGCACATGTTAGTCAAGAAGGTACTTTATGTGCACGTACAATAAATCCCCTCACGCAGGCCAGGTCTAACAGCACACCCTCACAGTTTTATCGGGCCATTAATTCTTCCCATTTGCTCCAAAAGTTCCTATCCCGACATTTCCATATTAAAATGAATTTCCTTCCTTCCTTCTCAGGGCCTTCGATTTCCTTTGACTCATTTGCTCTCGGCTGGCTGGTGCACCACCATGCGAATCGTGTCTCCACTCCCGCTTTTTGCTGGTTAACTGAAGATGGAGACTCCAGCACTTTCCTGCCCATGCTGGCTTTGAAGGAAGAGCTCTGCTGATCTCAGTAGTTCAGACTAGAGGCAAGGGGACCAGTCCCCAGCTCTTTTGAAGTGTTAACAGGCATTAATTGTACATTATTGGTGGAGTTGGGTGTGATGTTTTCATAATATGAGTGTGTATACCAGGCTGAGTTCTCACCATGCCACCATCCTCACCTACCACCTACATCATGCAAGAAAACACGTGATTTTCTTCTTTGGCCTGTTTTGTCTAACGTAATGCCCTACAGCGCCATCCAGTTTATATCAAGTGGAAGGATTTAATTGTTCTTCATGACTGACTAACATTCCATTGCATGTGGACCACGTTGAACTGTCCCCGGCTGCCTCCGCAGCTTGAAGCTTGCTCTGTGGCATGATGACCTCACTTTCCGGGTCAGGGGATGGTTCTTTTCGAGCACCCTCTGTTCTGTTTCCTGTAATGGTGTTCCTCATAATAGTGTGTTCACCTTCCTTTCCCTCCCCCTCCTCCTGGAATCTGCTCTTTGTTGGTTGCTTCAGGAAGGCCTCGCCAGCTGAAGTGAAGCCACGCTGGTAGCTGCTTTGTGCTTTGGATCTGCATTTCTCCGGTGTCTGGTAGTCCTGCATTTTCTGTATTTGTTAGTTGCTTGTGCTCCTTGTTTTGAGAAGTTTCTACTCGGATCATTTTCCTGTTCTTCAATGGATTGCTTTCTCATTGTTAAGTTTTGTGAGTTCTTTATGTGTCAGATATTAACCCTTGGTTGAACAGGCCGCAAGTGTTTTCTTCCATTCCGCAGGTTGTCGCTTTTTTCCTTCCTGGGCTGAGCAGAGGTTTTTACTGTGGTGGATCTGACGTGCCAGCGTTTGCCTTCACTTCTTGTGCTTCAGAGTCCATCCAGATCCTCTGAGTCAGAATGTCTGCAAGCTCACCACAGAACATCTGAATCTGGCTTTCTCTGGAAGGCACATGGCCATAGGCGGCAGCAGCAGCAGCAGGTAAAGACTCAGGTCAGGGAGTGCTCTCCATCCAGTCTTGGTCTAGTTTTGTATTTTCTTTTTTATGTCACAAATAGAGATGCTGTGGCCAGGGTTCAGCCATTTTCCATTTCTCCCTCAGGGAGCAGTGAGGCCATGTGCTGGGATGAGGTTTCCATCGATGTCCCGCATATACACTGGGCTGTTACACTGGAATGGAGCTGGATGCCCAGGCCTCGGGCTGCTCAGGAGACATCCAGCTCACCAAGTCTCTCTTGTGTGGGTGAGGACGTTGGGGTGAGCAAACCCAGGGCTCAGGCAGGCTGTTGAAAGTGTGGCCCACACAATTGTCTGTGGCCCACCGCCCTGGGTGAAGAGAACTAACAATGGCGGTCATGGGCCTGGTGTGTGTCACACTCCACCTGACCTTGCAGTTTGAGAGTTCTCCTGCTGCCTGTGTGAGAACTGTCCACCGTAAACATCTTCAGCCCAGGGTCAGTGGCCGCCCAGCAGCCTGTGTGCTACTCCCTGACAGCCCACTGTGCTTGTGCTTGATTTCCACTCATGTTCCTTTGTTCACGGCCCTACATGCGACAGATGTGTTTGCGTGCATGTGTGCATGTGTACACGCGCATGTGTGTATTGGTGTGCATGTGTGTGTCTCCTGCTGGTGTCTGGCCACACCATCTAGGCTTGTGGACGTGGCTCAGTGATGCCCACACAGAGACAGTCACCACACGACTCTTTCTCATCTGTGGCCTTGTTGCTAAGCAGCAAGTCTGCTCCTACTCCGTAGGCTCTGTCTCAGCCTGCCCTTAATTCCTGCAGTGGAAAGAAATGCTGCCAGTCAACTTGATATGCATGTGTCCCATGGCTGAGTACTTCACTCTTCGTTGACCATTTTTCCTCCAGGCAAAAATAATTTTAAAAAATAACAGTGAAATATGAATAATGTATATTTCCCTATCTCTGCCCTAGTGAAACCTAACTCTCCAATTACAGCCCTTAAATAATGGCACTGCCAGCAGTTGGAAAATGGCAAGCCACTGCCTAAGTGTGCCCTCGGTTCACTTCCTGTTCCTGAAGGGTGGTCCACAGGTTAACTTCCTGTCCCTGTAGAGTAGTCTGCAGGTTCACTTCCTGTCCCTGTAGAATGGTCCACAGGTTCACTTCCTGTCCCTGTAGCGTGGTCTGCAGTGTGGTTTCTTGAGAACGGGCAGCCACACTTCAACTGACTAGTGATCCACTTTTTGTGGACACACCCCAGTCTTCTCAGACAACAAAAGGAGACAGGGTGCTTCACGCGCATCTTATCTGCCACTCTCCATGAATAAAACTCATTCTTGCTCAGCCCTTCCCGTTGGTTTCCTCCCCTCCCCCCCCATCACCCCAATCCTTAGAGAAGCGAGTTTCTCCCAGGTGGTCCACTTTTTCCAGAAAACCCCTCGTAGGCCTTAACACTAAGGATTCCAAAGGAGGACGTGTTGATGAGGGAAGTCATTAATTCTGTCTCACTTAAGATTCAAGGTGCAATATCCACACCCACCTCTCCATAAATGCTCAAGAGTCAAGAATGTGAGGCCATGGCTCGCTCTTTTCCCTCTCTCTCTTCCCCCCTCCTTCCTTCTCTACCTCTTTCCCAAGCATTTGAACCAGGAGAACATAGTTTTAGTTTACCTTTTTATTAGAGCATTTGAACCAGGAGAACATAGTTTTAGTTTACCTTTTTATTAGTTAAAATAAAATAAATGCTCGCTGTGAGAATGGTTTTGGAAGACTGAACAATGATGATACTCTATGCAGGCATTACACCACGGTGGAGGGGAGGAGCAGGCTGGGGAAGGGAGGACCACTGAGACAGAGATGAGGAGAGATGGAGAGGCAAGATGGGGACACCACCTTCATCTGCCCCCATTTGGTTTTACAGGAGTCTGATCTTTATCCACTTCTCCATTTGAAATCCTTTTGCCTCTGCTTTTGACCTTGGCCACCTAGTAACTCTGAGACAAAATTGATTTTCAAACTATAATCTTTATTTTGTGTAGTACACCTAATTGTTGGAATGAGATATAACAAGAACTTGCGTAAATTGATAAAACCACGTTTAAATATTTGTGATGTGATGATGTCAACTCATGCAAAGCAGGGAATCCGAACTTCCTTAGTTTTGATGTAATCAAATGTGACTCTTGCCGCCAGCTCCTGCCCTCTCTCCCGCTCTCCTGGAAGGGGGAGGGTTGCCCTTCTCAGCCCCTCCCCGTGGAATTCTTGTCACTCTTGTTTAGCATACCCAGGTTCTTCATGGAAATAGCACGGCTTGGTTTATTAAAAATTCATGGGACACAGTTCTCTCCCGAGTACATAGTGCTTGAGGCTTTTAGCCCTATCTGTAAGATTGCCTAAATCTTACCTATATTTTAAAGATTCATGAATCTTTAAAGTTATCGGCAGAGTGAGCGCAGTGCCTTTTTGGAGGCAGAGCAACACAGGACCATGAGGACTCTGAAAAGGTCACTTGTTTTTACTTATTAAATGAGACTATGTTAGCGCTCGCCCTGAAGTAGGGGGTTTGGGGAAAGGACTTCATTTTCCAGAAATCTTTTCCCCTTGTGTGTCTCCATGCATTTCTATGCTGTCCGTGTCTCTCCACTAGGAACCCAGTAATTCTGATGCCTCCAACGCTGCGTTCCCCTGGCACACTTCATGTTGTCTTTGCTGTTTGTATTGTGTATTTCTGAGCCCTAGACCCTAGCACCAGGTTTCAAGGCCACCAAGATATCAACAAGCCTGAGTTGCACAAAAGAAGTCCATCAACTTTTGGAGCCAGATGAGGTGGTGTGAGCCTGTAACCCCGGCAACTCAGGAGGCAGAGCTCAGGAGATCTCAGTTCCTGGACAGCTCAGGTAACATCGGCCCCTTGGCCCCTCGTGGGAGGCGTGGAGGGACCGGGGTCCAGGCTGGCAGCAGCAGCAGCAACATCAAAATTCTACCCAGAAGATAATGAAAGTGAGAAAAGCCTAGAAACATGTTTCAAATGGTGGGGTGTTTTCCTAGCAAGTGTGAGTTGCTGAGTTTAAACCTCAGTACCACCACCAAGAAATGAAAGAAGGAAAGAGGGTAAGGGAGGAAGGAAGGAAGGATGGAAGGAAGGAAGGTGGGAAAGAAAGGCAGGAAAGAAGGAGGGAGGGAGGAAGGAAGGGAGGGAGGGAGGGAGGGAGGAAGGGAGGAGGGAGGGAGGTGGGGAGGGAGGAAAGAAAGGAGGGAGGGACGAAGGAACGAGGGAGGGAAGGAGGAAGGGAGGGAGGAAGGAGAGAAGGGGGAAGGAAGAAAGGAAGGAAGGAAGGAGAGAGGAGGGGAGGGAAGGAAGGAAGGAAAGAAGGAAGGAAGGGAGGGAGGGAGGGAGGGAAGAAGGGAGAAAGGAGGAAGAGAGGGAAGAAAGGGAGGGAGGGAGGAAAGGGGGAGGGAGGAAGGGAGGGAGGGAGGGAGGGAAGAGAAAGGGAGGGAAGAAAGAAAGGAAGGAAGGAGCAAGGGAGGGAAGGAGGAGGGAGCAAGGAAAGGAAGGAAGGAAGAGAGAGGGAAGGAGGGAAGGAGGGAAGGAGGGAAGGAGGAAGGGAAGAAGGAGAGTGTGAGGGAGGGAAGGAGGGAGGAAGGGAAGAAGGAGGGAGGGAAGAAGGAGGGAGGGAAGAAGGAGGGAGGGAAGAAAGGAAGGAAGAGAAGGAGGGAGGGAGGGAGAGAGAGAGGGAAGAAGGAGGGAGGGAAGGAAAGAGGAATGGGGGGAAGGAAGGAAGGAAGGAAGGAAGGAAGGAAGGAAGGAAGGAAGGAAGGAAGGAAGGAAGGAAGGAAGGAAGAGAGAAAGAATCACAGTATGGGCTGAAGCGCTGCACATGGAGCTCATTTTGCATGTGGTTCTCCTCTCTTGCTGTCAGCAAGTCCGGGCTCAGCTCTTGTTCTGAGGAGTGCCGCCCAGCAGCCTGTTGCTAGCCATCCTATGGTTAAGGCCAGCTCATCTGGTCTGTCCCTGATGACCAGGGTCCCAGCTCCACTCACTCACAGCCTCCTCTTCCAAACCTTCCTCTCGGTCCTTCGTGTGCACTGTCAGAGATGGGACTCCCACATTATGTAGCAATCATATTGTTTATTTGGCAGTGCTGGGGTTTGAACTCAGGACCTTGTGCTTGCAAGGCAGGCCTTCTACCGCTTGACTCGTATCCTGGCCCATTAGCGGGCTGAATGCTATGGAGTGTGCACTGCACTTGGAAAAAAGTGTGAATCAGTCACTACTGGAACTGCACAAACTGGCCACTGACAAAAATGACCCCCACTTGTGTGAGTTCATTGAGACTCATTACCTGAATGAGCTGGTGAAGTCTATCAAAGAATTGAGGGACCATGTCACCAACTTGCACAGGATGGGAGCCCCTGAATCTGGAATGGCAGAATATCTCTTTCACAAGCACAGTCTGGGAGAAAGTGATGAGAGCTAAGCTTTGGGCTGATTCCCCCAAAGCCACACGTGACTTCTGGTCACGGGGACAGTGCCTGCATGTTTGGGGTTATCATTACCTTTTCTGTAAGTTGTACCAGAATCCTAAGTTCTTTTAATTTGTACCATTCCTTCAAAGAAAGAAATTTGGTACCTAAAAAAAAAATGTTATTGTCAAAGTGTTGTGCAGAGGGGTTATAGTTACATAAGTAAGGTAGTGATTACATGTCTTGTCTAACTGGTCACCCCCTCCTCATTTTTCTCCCTTTTTCCCTCCCCTCAACCGCTCTCCAAGTTGTAAGATCATTTCTAACACAGAGTCTTGTGAGTATGGCTGTGGCATTGGTTCACCTTTGTCCTTTGTCTACTTATTGGTCAAGCGTGTTTGGGGGGTTTTGTCCTTGTGCCCAAGCACAAGTCTAGACTGCAATCTTCTCGTTGTGCTCCCAGTGCCAGGGTGATACTTGAGTGCCACCGCGTTCTACGGAATGATTAAGTCTCGAACACATTTCACCCGGTCTAGCCCTGAACCAAGATTCTCCTGATAACAGCTCCTGAGCAGCTTGGGTTACAGGCAGGAGTCGCTGTGCTTGGCTTGTCATTTAAGTTTTGGGAACTTCCCTCCCCCATGAAGGGTGAATGTATCCTGCTTCTTGCTTCCTGTTTCTGGTTTCCTGCTTCCTGCTTCCTGGTTCTTGCCAGCACCTACCTTGTCTTGTGGTTTTAAACATCCGAGGTCCTGGCAGGTTTGGTCTATGATTTTGATTTAGAATTCCCTGGGAATTCATGATGTCATTTCGAGCATCGTCTTTGGTGAAGTGCCTGTTCGATTCCTTCATCTGTTTTTATTCAGGTTATTTGTTTATTTTTTGTTGGGCTGCAGAAGCCAACTTTCTTTTTGCTGTTGTTGTTGTTAGCCATGGGGCTTGAACTCAGAGACTGGATGCTGTCCTTCAGGTCTTCGGCTCAAGGTGAGCACTCTGTCACTTTGAGCCACAGCGCCACTTCTGGTTTTCTGGTGGTTCATTGGAGATAAGAGCCTCACAGACTTTTCTGCCTGGGCTGGCTTTGAACCGCGATCCTCAGATCTCAGCCTCCTGAGTAGCTAGGATGACAGGCGTGAGCCACTGGCACCTGGCTGCCAACTTAGTTCTTACCCCTATTTATTGCTCTAGTATCCAACAACCTCCAAGCAAAAGTGTGTCTTGGTATCACCCGACGTAAGATGCCAGCAGAGGCAGGGCCACGGGTGAATGGTCACATCCACGGGACGTTCAGTCGGAACACAAAAAGAGATGCTTCACACTTGCTCACCACCGGACTCAGACAGAGCCACCAAAGAGCTCGCTCTGTTTACTTCTGATTTAATCTGTGCTTGAAGTCACACGGTTTACTGTAAGACTCATATTCAGACTAGAAGTCACCTGATCTGACTCCCTCGCTCTGCAGATAAGAGAACTTCAAAGAAGAGATGGTATTCGTTACCCAGATAACGAAGGCTCAGCCAGGCTGGGGAATCGGGCACCCGGGGCCTCTGCACAGCTCCCAGCCCCACCATCTCTGCCTCACTCCTCAAGTGCAAGGACACCCAGGAGGGTGGTTTTGGAATTTGGTGGCCAGATACCATGTTTTGTTCCTGCTCTGCCACTCATCCGTGGCTAGGGCCATGGTCGTGTGGCAATATTCTGTATTTCCCGTCAGCACACTGGCACAGCCACTTGCCCAGGGTGACAGCTGGGGGTACGGAGTTTAAATGAAGCAGAGTTAAAGCAATTGGAAAATGGGTCGCCGTCCCTGTGAGTGCGATGTTTGCGGGGTCATATATCAGAATGAAAAGCGAGATGAGTGCACACTTGAATTTCAACCTTGTTTTGGTGAGTGCTGGTGGCCCACAGTGTGCGACAGTGTCACGGCCCCGCACCTCTTCCCTTCTCCAGCTGGAGATTTCAGCCATCCATTCTGGGCAGGGAGGGCCTGGCTGTGGGGGAGGGGCATTGTGAGGGTCAACCAGGGTTCCCTTGCTGTCCCATGGAGACACAGCTCTGACCACCAGACCCTCTGCATGCGGCTCTGACCGCCAGCCCTCTGCGCACGGCTCTGACCACCAGCCTTCTGCACACAGCTCAGCACATAGCCCTGACCACTGGCCCCTCTGCACACGGCTCTGACTACCAAGCCCTCTGTTAACGGTTCTGACTGCCAGACCCTCTGCACAGGGCTCTGCACATGGCTCTGACTGCCAGCCTTCTGCATACAGCTCTGCACATGGCCCTGACCACTGGGCCCTCTGCACACAGCTCTGACTGCCAGCCTTCTGCACACGGCTCTGACCACTGGCCCCTCTGCACAGCAGCTACTCATTGTTGAATGTGTTTGGTTCCTAGGCAGAAGGGCCAGGGCTCGAGTCACCGAGGCTTCGGAGGAGATGTGGAGGACGGGGAGGGAGGAGGAGAGGGAGGGGACAGGGAGGAGGTGGGGAGGGGACAGGGAAGAGGATGGGGAGGATGGGGAGGAGGACAGGGAGGAGGATGGAGAGGATGGGAGGAGGACAGGGAGGAGGACAGGGAGGAGGATGGGAGGAGGACAGGGAGGAGGACGGAGAGGTTGGAGAGGAGGACAGGGAGGAGGACAGCCGCGAGAGCTGAGCTTCAACACTTCTCATCTTCGGGGGAAAGGAGGTGAGGATGTGACAGGCCAGTAGGATTCGAAGCTGAGTCTTCATTTTCAAAGGCACTGAGTGGACACAGCTCTTCTCCCTTGAGGTCATGTGACTTGGAGGCCATGTGATTGGGCACAGTGGAGCTGCTGTATGATGAGAGCTGCAGGAGGGGTTCTGGGTCGTACATCAGGTTGTGGGGACGGTGCATCCAGTCAGCGTCACCCTTCCCTGCTCCTCCTGCCCCCCAAGTCCACCGTTTACCAGGGGTGCACTGACAACCGGCTGTGTTGCTCACCCCGGTCCCTGCACATGCCCCATGCCTTCCCCAGCCCGCATGCCCTCCCGGCTTCCCGAGGACAGCGCATATCCCTGGTTCAGAGGCGTTCCCCTCGACTCCCCTCAGTGTGTGAGCATGCGTGGAGCCCTGTGTGTCATCCGGTGCTCGTGCTTCAGACCCAGCATGCACACAGGAGAGGAGACATGCACCTCTGTCTCTCTGAGCCTGACTCACTTCACAAAACACAGACCTTTTCTCGTTCCATCCATTTCCCAGCAGCCCACATGCTGTAAGGAAGTTCATCGGGACCGGAAGAAATGGCAGGGAGGTAGTGGCACACGGCCTGGCTGGCTGGCTCCGGGGTGTGCTCATGGATGTGTGTGTGTGAACATGTGCCTGGTGTTTGACCCTCGTCCCTGTCCCTCTCTGGTGGCAGGTTGGTGGTCACTTCCCATGGTTTCTTCTTTTAAGAAAAGGTCACACGAAAGCCAGGCTGGGCTGAAATTTTTTTGGGGGGATGGGTCCAGTCGTGGGGCCTGAACTCTGGGCTGGGTGCTGTCCCTCAGCTCTTCAGCTCAAGGCTAGCACTCTACCCCTTGAGTCACAGCGCCACTTCCGGCTTTTTTTTTAATGTGATGCTGAGGAATCGAACCCAGGGCCTCAGGCATGCAAGGCAAGTGCTCTACCACTGAGCCACCTTCCCAGCCCCTGGGCTGAAATTTTTTGCTGTTTGTTTTTAATATATATATGTATATATATTGAATTTATTTTTTTGCCATTGAACAATGTATCTTGACGTCTCTTCCCTTCTCCCTGCCCGGCTCCGCCCTCCTTCCCTCACCCAAGTGCATTTGTGCATAAGGTGTCCGTGCTGCAAATCTCACTTATTCCTCCCCACCTCCCCATGCTCACTTCGCCTCATTCATTTTTCTTCTTCGTCTGCAACAATGCTCAGCTTCTCCTCCCTTTCTTGACCAAGGCATGAAACCAGTCCTCACTCTTCAATCCTGAGATAGTGAATATGCCGGACTAGGCTTAAAAATAGAATGTCCACCACCATCTGCAATAACTATCCACAAGCCAAACCCACAGCAACGAGCCCTGGAATAATCGTGACCCACTCGGTAACCAGCAATGCCAGCCCTCACAGGAGCTCAGCTGCGGCCAGCCGGCCTCCTGCTTCCTCTGAGAGCACTGCAACCGGAGCAGCTGTCTTCTCCCTCAAGAACAATGCCTGGCCTACACCCTACACGTAGCGGCAGTGGACGTCCTCACCAGGAAGCCTCGGGGGGGGGGGGGGGGAGTCCTCGCCACGGGGGAGGGTGTCTTCACCATGTGGGGAACGTCCTCATCCTTACCCATGAGGAGCATCTTTAGCCAGTTCTTCCCTGGATGGACCACATATATCTTCACCGTTCGCCAGCAGCATGAAGGTTTGGATAAATGCCACGGTCTTGCTTTTCTGGAGCCCCTGCCTCTGTTTCCCCGTGTTATCTTAGGTGCAGGGTCACTTCCGGGAAGCCTCAAGAGGGATGAAAATGTCTAGAATCTGGAGGTGTGCCCACTGAGGCTCTAAACAACATCACAAGACCGAAGCTTTCTTCTCACAACCACAATAGGATAGCTGATCGTCCTCACTGTGTCTATGAATGCAAATATTCTGTATAGCCATTTGGTCTCATACCAAATAGCAACTATGGAACAATGTCGGACTCTGTGTCTAAAGCTGTTATGTAAGGCCACGAGGATTTCTGACAGTTCAATGCTTTTTATTCTATTCATATTTTTGTTGAAATAAAATACAAAGAAAATAACCTTGTATATGCATATGAGGACTTCTAACAGGTGAAGGTTTCCATGGAGACTTTTATTCAGCTGAGGAGTTTGTGTGGAGAAACCATTCATTTCTGGTTCTAAAAAATTCTTTTCAAATAATA